CCCCGTCCTCCCCTTCCCTCCCCTCCCTGTGTTCAGATTTGGGAGCGTTCCTGCATGGCTGCCTCTGCCTACACAACAAGAGTGATTTGTTGTTGCTACTTCTAAAGTGCGGTTCTCCGATTCTGACATTTCACTGGCTTCAAAGCCACTCGTGTGAGTTCTCTGGGGGAGGGGGGTGTTTGTTGACTATTCTGTTTTATCTTGTTTGTGTTTGCACCAAGCTGCTCCATTTTTTTTTTTAAATGGGAGGATGTGTATTTTATATGATTTCTGTTTGTAATAAAGTGTTTTCTGTCCACATGAAGGAAAAAAAAAAAAAAAGCAAGACTGGAGGCTATCGGGGACGGTACTAGCACTGCAGGAATTAAGAGTAAAGATCCCTTTCTCATGATGAGACTGTCCCGAGCAGAATATAAAGAGAGAGTGCGATGGACTGAAAAACTGAGACCTACACGCCGATGCGTGAAGATACTGAAGGACAGGTTTCCAAGTCACTCACAGTCCACTCTTCTGAGCATCTACTCCCTGGAGTACCAGAAATGGATCAAAAGGACATTCTCAAGACACCATGTGCCGCATGTTATTGAAAGCTACTACCAAAGGTATCTGAGTGAAGCCAAGGCACAGCCTACTGCTCCTGTCCTGCTTGAATTGGCCAATGAGGTGGATCTGTCTCCTGCGCTGATGGCTCGTATCATCTTGGACAGGTTCCTTCAGGGCCAGGATGGTGGAATGCCATCTAAATCAGTCCTCAACAGCATGCTGAAGGAGCCATCTTTAATTCCAGACCAAATTTTGGCCAGTAATGTCTACCAATGCACAATAAATGACTGCTGTTATGGACCGCTGGTAGACTGCATCAAACACGCCATAGGCCATGAGCATGAAGTGCTGCTCTGGGAAAAACTGAAGGAGAAGAACCTTTCCTTTCTGGATGAAAACCATCTGAGAACTATGGGCTATGACAAAACACCTGATATCATCCTGGAGGTTCCAGTTGCTGTGGAAGGACACATTGTACACTGGATTGAGAGCAAAGCCTCTTTTGGAGATGATCAAAGCCATCAAACCTATCTCAATGAACAATTCTGGAGCTACTGGAACAGGTTTGGTCCAGGCCTTGTGATCTACTGGTATGGCTTTATTGGAGACCTGGATTGCCAGA